GCGGGGCCGCCGCCCGGCCGCCGCGTCCCCACCTGCGGTCGCTCTGCGGTCCTCTGCAGGCTGTCGGGAGGGGCCTGGACGAAGCCAACTTGAAAAGATGGGCGGGTGGCTGGGCGACGTTCCCTGTAACGGCGTAGAAGTCCCCCAGGCCTCGGGCCCTCATTCTTCAAGGGCACGCTGCCTCCGCCAGCCCTCTGGTCCCAGTCAAGGCTTCCTTGGCTTCTTGGCGCCTGTGCTTCTCCTCCCGGCACTTAGCCGCGCTTTGCAAGCACAGGTTTCCGCGGGGGTTTTGTATGTTTGTTTCTAATGACACCCTCTGGCGCTCAACTGGAAGCGCCATGAGGGCAGAGGCTGTATTCTGAACTGTTTGCTGTTATCCCCCGGCACCCAGCTCGGGGCCTGCCCCCGCCGCCCCGCAGGTGTTTAAAAAACGGATGGTGTATGATTCAGCCAGTCTGCAGAATGAGGCTGAAACCTGCCCTGCCAGGCTGTGGGGCTGGCCTGAGATGCCTACGACGGCTCAGTCCATGGTAGCTCCACGTACCCCGTATTTCTTTTTTTCTTTTTTTAAAGTTTTCTTCTTTTTTTTTTTAATATATCTTCATTGATCTCAGAGAGAGGAAGGGAGAGGGAGAGAGGGAGACAGAAACATCAATGAGGAGAGAGTCACTGATCGAGCCCGCCGCCCGGGCCTGTGCCCTGACCGGGAATCGAACCCCCATCGCCTGGATCCCAGGTGGACGCTCAACCGCTGAGTCACACCGGCCGGGCCACACCCCATGTTTCTAATCCCCCCCTTTCTCTCTCTTTCCATCCCTCTCTCTGTCTCATGAAGCCTATAAAGTGCACGGCCCTGTGCCTGACCCTCTTCCTTTCCCAGATCTTCAGCCGCCCCCAGACGCAGCGATAAAATCACACCCTGGGAGACGGGGCAGGAACCGGGTGGCCCCGAAGGCGACGCTGGAAGCCGGGCGCCAGCAGGTCTCGAGGCGCCAAGCTCAGCCCCAGAGAGGAGGGCGTCCCGAGCGGGTCGCTGGCCCAGCGCTGTCTTCTCGGGCCTCCCTTCCGCGCCTGTAAAATGGGAGGGCTGGGCTGGATGGCTGCCCAGGACCAAGCAGCTCTGCAGCCCGTTTTCTGTGTTTTTTCCAAAGCTACTAACACACAAGCGACTGCTCCGGTGAGGGGGGCTGAGTTACAGGTCGTCACTCTCCAGCGAAGGAGCTGACTTTCCACCCAGCAGAGGAAAGCTCCTGAGAAAGGAAAGGAGGGAGAGGACTCCCACCCTCTGAGCGCCTCTTACTGCCGCTTGGGGGGGCCTGTCGCCTGCGCCCCCTTAGTGAACCCTCACAGCGGCCCTCTGGAGAGGTCTGTTACCCCCATTTCACCTACGGATGAGAAGACTGAGGCCGAAAGAGGTAAACATAACTCTCCCGAGACCTCACAGCCGGTCAGTGGCAGAGCTGGGATTTGAACTCAGGGGCACTAATTCCTTCAGGGAGCCTGTCTCCTCTACTGGTTTCTTTTTCCCCACTTTAGAATTTAGGATTAAGAGGTGAGATCGACATCCAGGCAACAGTATTTCAGGGATGTGTTCAGCAGACTCTTGGGGCCACTGCTTCAAGGTGGCCACGAGGCACATCTTAGTGCAGACAGTCTGGCTGCAGGACTGGACATCTGGGTGCCTGAATTCTGACTTGGAGAGTCCTCTGACATCCTGTGACCTGGAGTCCCTTTCCCTTGCTTCTCCTTGGTTTTTCAATGTATAAAATGGGGCAGACGATGCCGAGCTCACACAGTTGCGTTATCTAATTAGATACTTAGGAAACTGTAAAGAGACAAGAGGCTGTGAGGAGTTCCCCTTACGATTAATCCATTGCCTCATTCAAAAAATGACCTGTATTGTGCGCTAAACCCTTTAGTGAACCTGGAAACTGAAAATAGAATCAATCGTACAAAGGATAGGCTATTTAGGAAGTTGTTTTTCCTGTTTTCATGGTCTGGGATGGAGCCCTTTGCCCCTTCTCTGTCTCACCATGGCCTTTCTTTCTGCCAAGCCCAGAGGTGACGTCACTACCACCAGCTGTCTGGGCTATCTGGCGCCATCCCCTTGACAACAGCCACCCAGCCACAAAGCTGGCATTATTATTTCCTTGGGCAAGGTCATACCGAATGGCTGTGAGGAAGCAGCTTGCAGCCAGATGTTTCTCATTAGGGTACAACCCTCCTGAAGTTTGAGCAGCTCACGCATCTCATCAAGACGCACGAGCTGCCATTACTAACAGCGAGAATACCTTTTTATAGGATAAATACATACCCGCTGCTACTTTGCCTTGTTTCATTTTATCCTCACGACGCTGTGAAGTAGGTTGGAATTACTGCCCTGCTCTACAGATGAGGAAACTGAGGCTCAGAGAGAGGAGAGACTTGCCAAAGGCCACCTTTCCCCTTCCTTTTTTTAGCTTTTCATTTAGAAATAACTTCAGATTTAGAAAAAGATGCAAAAAATTCCCTATATTGCCTTCACACGGCTTCCTAAAATATTAACACCTTACATCACCATACCACAATCATTGAAAATAAGAAATTACATTGATACAATATGATTTACTACAGACCTTACTTAAAGTTAGTCAGTTTCCCATTAGTGCCCTTTTCTGGCCCAGGACTCCACACTGCATTTAGTTGTCATGTGTCCTTACTGCCCTCTAACCTGTGACAGTTCCTCTGTCTGTTTCTTTCGTGACGTTGACACTTCATAAAAGTTCTCGCCAGTTATTTGACAGAATGCTTCTTAATTCAGGTTCATGTGGTGTTTCCTGGTGATTAAATTGAGATTATGCACCTTTTGACAAGCATAACACAGAAGTGATGTCGTGCCTTTCTCAGGGTATCAGGAGGCAGATGATGTTAATATGTCTCATCATTGGTGATGTTAACTCTAATCTCTCCGCTAAGGTGGAATCTGCCAAGATTCTTCCTGGCAAAATTACTATTATAATTAATAAGAATCTTGGGGGTGATATTTGAGACTATGTAAATATCCTGTTTTTAATCAAACTTTTGCCCACTAATTTTATTACCTATTGATGATTCTTACCCAGAACAGTGATTGCAGTGGGATTTGCCAGTTGGTGATTTCCTATTGTCATCATGCCTTCTATATTTATTAGTTGGATTTCTAATGTAAGGAAGTCTCTTCTCCCCTATTTATTCAGTTTATTTAAATCCATATGGACTTGTAAATATTTGCTTTGTTTTATGGGTCATAATCTATTACTACCATTATTTCTTGTGTTATACATTTGTCCTAGACTTGGCCAAGTCACCCTTTCAAATAAGTGTGCCAGGACTCATACCCAGGCCTGCCTGGTCCCAAGGTCAGCAGTTTTTCTAGCACACCACCCTACCCCTTTGCACTGAAGAACTCCTCCCAGCCAGGCCTCACCATCAGCACTCCTTGACCAATCCCCAGTCAGTACCCACTGTCTTCTCCATAGCATGCCAGGTTACTAAGCCAGTGATGCCTTCTAGGCCCAACACCTAGCCCCAGGCTACACATATAATAGGTGCTCAAGGCCAGTTTGCCAAATAACTCACAGTCCTGACTGTTCTCAAGATGGGGAAGAGCAGTGAGACATGCCCCCTACCAAGGGAACAGCATGTATATTCTTGGGCTACACAGGGTAACAAACATCAACATGGTATCACCGAAGACCTGCCAGTTCAACTTTCTGGGCTTACTTTCTTGTCTGTAAACTCAGTGCGTTAGACTACAACATTGATGCCCCCTTCACACTGACATTCCATGAATAACTGATATTAGCCACCATGTATTGAGCTCTTTCTATTGTACCAGGCACTGTGTTAAACTTTACATCCAATCTTCATAATAACCACAAAAAACAGGGACCACTTTTGCTCCAATTTTACAGTTGACAAAACTGAGGCTCAGAGAGGAGGGGGATTTTTCTGGCCATATAGCAACTAAGTGGTGGAGCTGGTAGTTGAACCCAGATTTCAATCGAATGCCTATGTTCTTAATCACTATGCCATAGTGCCTTTCACTGAGTTACTGCTATCCTGCCTTCAACAAGCTGGTTAAAATGCACA